GAATAGTATTCCATGGTATACATATACCACAACTTGTTAATCCATTCCTGGGTTGGTGGGCATTTAGGCTGTTTCCACATTTTCGCGATTGTGAATTGAGCTGTGATAAACAGTCTAGTGCACGTGCCTTATGATAAAAGGATTTTTTTCCTTCTGAGTAGATGCCCAGTAATGGGATTGCAGGATCTAATGGGAGGTCTAGCTTGAGTTCTTTGAGGGTTCTCCATACTTCCTTCCAAAAAGGTTGTATTAGTTTACAGTCCTACAAGCAGTGTAAAAATGTTCCTTGCTCTCCACATCCATGCCATCATCTGCAGTTTTGAGATTATGTGATTTGGGCCATTCTCACTGGGATAAGATGATATCGCAGGGTGGTTTTGATTTGCATATCTCTAATAATTAGGGACGATGAGCATTTTATCAAATGCTAGCCATTTGTCTGTCTTCCTTAGAGAAGTTTCTGTTTGTGCCTCTTGCCCATTGATATGTGGGATTGTTGGCATTGAGTTCTCTATAGATCTAGTTATCAAGCTTTTCTCTGACTCAAAATATGCAAGTATCCTTTCCCAGTGTGTAGGTTGTCTGTTTGCTTTGGTTATTGTCTCTTTAATGGTACAGAAGCTTTTCAGTTTAATTAACTCCTATTTGTTTATTTTTGTTGTTGATGCAATTGCCACGGCAGTCTTCTTCATAAAGACTTTCCCCAGGCCGGTATCTTCCAATGTTTTCCCTGTGGTTTTCTTTTATTGTTTCATGCCTTAAATTTAAGGCCTTTATCGATCTTGAATCAATCTTTGTGAGTGGAGAAAGCTGTGGGTCCAGTTTTAGTCTTTTACATACGGATATCCAGTTCTCCCAGCACCATTTATTGAATAAGGAGTCCTTCCCCAAAGGTATGTCCTTGTTTGTATATGGAAGATTAGGTGGTTGTAAGATGTTCATTTCATTTCCTGGTTTTCTTTTTTTATATAGAGACAGAGTCTCATTTTATCACCCTCAGTAGAGTGCTGTGGTGTCACACAGCTCACAGCAATCTCCAACTCCTGGGCTTAGGCTATTCTCTTGGCTCAGCCCCAAGCTGGGACTACAGGCGCCCACCACAGCGCCCAGCTATTTTCTTGTTGCAGTTTGGCTGGGGCTGGTGAACCCGCCACCCTCGGTATATGGGGCCAGCGCCCTACCCACTGAGCCATAGGCGCTGCCCACATTTCCTGGTTTTCTATTCAATTCCAATGTCTGTGTCTCTATTTTTGTGCCAGTACCATGCATCTTGACCACTATGGCTTTGTAGTACAGCCTAAAATCTGGTATGTTGATGCCCCCAGCTTTGTTTTTATTACTAAGAACTGCCTTAGCTATACAGGGTTTTTTCTGGTTCCATACAAAATGCAGAATCATTTTTTCCAAGTCTTTTTTTTTTTTTTTTTGAGACAGAGCCTCAAGCTGTCCCCCTGGGTAGAGTACCCTGGCATCATAGCAACCTCCAACTCCTGGGTTCAAGTGAGTCTCCTGCCTCCGCTTCCCAAGTAGCTGAGACCACAGGTGCCTGCCACAATGCCTGGCTATTTTTTGGTTGCAGCTGTCATTGTTACTTGGCGGGCCTGGGCTGGATTTGAACCCACCACTTAGGTGTATGTGGATGGCGCCTTAGCCACTTGAGCCACAGGCGC